TTCGGAAAGCTCCGGGTTTTTTCTTACCCCTTCCCCCCTTTTCTGCGCCTGACTTTGAAATTTTCCCGTTTAAAGTCTGAATTGTCCTTTTTTTCCTCTAATCTGTTCAGGCTTTGCCCGTTTCTCTTTTAAGCAATGTTTCCCCGCTTCTGCTGCTAAAGGGCCCGGACTTCCCCCTTCCTTGCACTCCCTTTGCTATCCCCTCCTCCATTTTCTTTCCAAACTCTATATCTTCCTTTTCCCCCCTCTTTTCCCCCCTTTTTTGGGGGCCCTTTAAATCCCAGTTTTCCTCCCTGGGTTTTTCTACCAGATCTCGGTTTTCCGTCCTCTAAGGCCACCCATATTTTTTTTTTTTTTTTTTTTTTTTTTTTTTTTTTTTTTTTTTACCGCAGACAGAAGGCTAGAGGGGGGGGGGGGGGGGGGGGGAGAGAAAAGGGTTTTTGAGGGAAAAGGAAAGAAAGGGGAGGAAAAAAGGGGGAGAGAGGGGGAGAGAAAGGGTAAAAAAAGGGGAGGAGGAGAGGGTAAAAGGGGTGAGGGGTAAGACCCCAAGGGGGGGAGAGGGGAAATGTGAGGGGGGGGGGGAAAAAGTAAGAGAGAGGGGGAAAGAGAGGGGAGGGAGAGGGAGAGAAAGAGAAGGGAGAAAGGAAGGGCGGGGGAAAAAGGGGAATTTAGAGGGAAATGGGAAAAAATGGAGAGAGGAGCCAAAAGAGGGGGAGGAGGGGGGAGGGTTGGTTATGGGGGTGAGGGAGAGAGGGGAGAGAGAGGGGGGGAGAGAGAGAGGAAGAGAGAGAGGGAGAGGAGAGGGAGGAGAGAGGGAGAAGGGAGAGAGAAGGGAGAGAGAGAGTGTGTGTGTGTGTGTGTGTGTTGTGTTTTTGTGTGTGTATGTTTGTGTGTGTGTGTTTTGTGAATTTGTATGTGTGTGTGTATGTGTGTGTGGGGTTGTTTTTTGTGTGTGTGTGTGTGTGTGGGGGTGTGTGTGTGTGTGTGTGTGTGTGTGTGTGTGTGTGTGTTTGTTTGTGTGTGTGTGTGTGTGTATTTGTATGTGGTGTGTATGTGTGTGTGTGTTTATGTTTGTTTGTTTGTGTGGTGTGGGGGTTTTTTATGTGGGGTGTATGGTGTGTGTGTTTTGTGTTTTGTATGTTTTGTTTTTGGGGTTTTGTGGGATGTGTGTGTGTGTGTGTGTTTGGGGTTTTTTGTGTGTGTGTGTAATGTGTGTGTGGGTGGGATGTTTGGTGTATGTGTGTGTATGTGGTGTGTTTGTTTTTTGCGTGCGTGTGTTTTGTGTGTGTTGTGTTTTGTTTTAAAGTGTGTGTGTGTGTGTGTTTTTTTGTGTGTGTTTGTGTGTGTGTGTATGTTTGGGGTGTTTTTTTTGGATGTTGTGGGGGTATGTTTGGGTGTATGTGTGTGTTGGTGTGTGTATGTTTTTTGTGGGTGTGTGTATGTGTGGGTGTGTGTATGTTTGGTTTTGTGTGTGTTTTTTGTGTGTGTGTTTATTTTGGGTGTTTTGGAGGGGTGTGTGTGTGTGGTGTGTGTGGGGGTGTATGTTTTGTGTGTGTGGTGGGGTTGTTTTGTATGTGTGTGGGGGTAGTGGTGTGTGTTATGGTTTTTTGTTTTGTGGGGTGTGTGTGTGTTTGTATGTGTTTGTGTATGTGGGGTGTGTGGGTGGGTGTATGTTTGTGTGTGTGTGTGGGATGTGTGTGTGTGGGGGTGTGTGTGTGTTTTTTGTGTGTGTGTGTAAGTGTGTGTGTGTGTATGGGTTTGTGTGTATGTGTGTGTATGTTTGTTTTGTATGTTTGTGCGTGCGTGTGTGTTTTGTGTGGTGTGTGTGTGTGTTGTTGTGTGGTGTGGTTTTGTATGTTTGGGGTGTGTGTGTGTGGGGTGTGTATGTTTGTGTGTGTGTGTGGGGTATGTGTGTGTGAAAGTTTTGTTGTATGTTGGGGGTGTGTGTGTATGTTTTTGTGTTGTGTGTATGTGTGGTGTGTATGTTTGTGTTTGTGTGTGTGTGTGTGTGTTTTGTTTTTAGTGTGTGGTGGGGTTGTGTGTGTGGGGTGTGTGTGTGTTGGGTGTGTGTGTGTTGTGTGTGTATGTGTATTGTTTTGTGTTTTGTGTTATTTTGGGTGTTGTTGTGTGTGTGTATGTGGTGTGTGTTTTGGGGAAAAGTGTGTGTGTGGTGGGGAGTGTGGTGTGTGTTTTGTGTGTGTGGGTGTGTGTGTGTGGGGTGTATGTGTGTTGTATGTTTTGTGTTTGGGGTTTTGGTATGTTTGTTGTGTGTGTGTTGTGGTGTGTGGGGTGTGTGTGTGTGTGGGGGGATGGGGTTTTTGGAAAGGGCCCGGGGCCCCACACAGCCTCTGCATGTAACCCTTTTAAAATGCACACACAGACACATAATACACACACACGCAGACACATACAAAAGACAAACCCCCAAAACGCAGACACCCCAGACACACCCCCCCCCACACACAACCCCACACACACCACACACACACACACACACCACCAAAAAACATACATACACCACACACCCTACACACCCCACACCACACACACACATTTCACAATACAATATTTTTCACACACCCACACCGGACACACACAACACCACACCCCAAAACCCCACACACACACACACACCACCCACACACAACACACACACACACCACACACACACATACACACACACACACACACACACACACACACACACATAACACAAAATTTCACATAAAAAACACACACGACACCGGACACCACACAGCACACCCAAACACACACACACACAACACACAACACACACACACAAAACACACACAACAACACACACACATACACACTTTAAAAATATACACCACACACACACAAGCGGAAAACACACACCCACACACACAAAACACACAAAACAAACACCATACACCCACACCACACACACACACACACACACAAAACCACACATCCCCACACCCACACACACATACCACACACCACACCCCAAAACACACACACACCAAACACACACACACAGCAGACACACCACAAAACAAACACACACCCACACCCCCCCACACCACACACACATACACAACTTAGAATGGGGGAGTGTTTACCAGGGGTCCCTTTAAAAAACGTTTAAGGGGCCCATAATTTTTCCCCAAATACCAAACGATCTGCCCAAAAATCACCTCCTTGGTTGTTTGTTAGCTGAGGGCCGGGGGGAAACACAAGAACACTAGAAGAAAATGACAGAGCACAGGACTTAACAGGTTTTTAGAATGGTTTAAAAAAGTGGCGGTGGAGTTTAATCCAAACACTTTAGGGAATTTCAAGTCAAAAGATGGGAATGAAAAAATTTTTTAAAGGGAAAAAAGCCAAGATTTAAAAACTTTTGGGGGAAAATCATTACAAAAAACATATCCTTTCCCCCCAGGGCATTCATATCTTTCCCCCCTTTAGGGGGGGTCATTTTTGAATCTTTCAGGGGATTATAATGGGGGTATATGAGAAACTGTGATGGGGTTTTGGGGGACCAGCGTGAAGGGAAAACGCCAGTAAGGCCCCGTTCACCAGCTGGAGACCCCTGAGGGAGGCTCGGGAAAAACTACGTCGGGGAAATTTTGGAAAACATTTAAAGACCAGGGTTTAGTTATGAAAAACGACGTACAAGATACTCAGGGTTTTGATAGAGGAAAAAAAAAGGGCTGGGTTTTAAATGGTAGAGGCCAAAGGGACAAAAGGGGTAAAAAAGGAAGCTAAGAGGCACAGATGAGCCCGGGATGTTAGGGAAAAACTTTTTCGGTTTTTTTGGGGTAAATATATTTGGGTTTTGCTTTTAAAAAGGTGGTGGGGGAAAACTTTTATCAGGAGGGGAAGACTATGACCCGTATTGCGGGTCAATGTTTTTTAGTTATGAGGGGAGCCAAAGGTGGGGTTTTCCCAGGCCCTCACACGCAACCTTGTCGATACAAGTGAGTAAGTGTTGGGAACACCCACAGGCAAAAGTTAAAAAAAGGGAGTCACCTCCCCGTCTACACTCACTCCGCTGGGATTTTAGTCTCCCAAACTTTTGAAAATGTAGGGATGTGTGTGTTGTGTGTGGGTGTGTGTGTGTGTGCCCCGTTTTTGTTTTCAGGGGTTTAAGGGGCCCGTCTCTAGCCTTTCCTTTGTAAGCTTCATTTTCCCGCTTAGGTTAGTTTAAATGAAAGAACACAATAAAAAAGGAGGGGGGATGCCTTTTGCGGGCTGGGAATTTTTAATCTTCTTTACTTTCATTTTTCTTCTCTTGATCCCCCCTCCTTTTTCTTTTCACCTTTTTTTACTGTATTTTCTACTCCGCCTTTAGAAAATGCCGATAGTCGAGCAGGTTGTGCCTTTTTTTTTATACCAACTTTAAATCACTCAAAAAATTCTCAGTTACACTCACAGCTGTTGTTGTACTTATTTATGGTTTTAATTCCTCTGATGGTATAGGATACACAGCTGTTTTTCCAGATAGACTTATACAGGGACATTTATCGAATTTATCTATTGTTTTCACAGCACAAATATATACGCTTCTTGCGACCATCATCTATACTACTTCTCTTCCTGCTTCTTCGTTTCTTGTAGTCTCAAACTCTCAGAATTAATTACAAACTATTCAGAACTTCGACTCTTCACGCCCCATCGTCCTTAGTATTCAACAGTGGCTGCGTCGCCTCTTCAGCAGACATAAAGACATCGTGTTTTTCCTGGTCCCTGGTCACTGTGGAGTCCATAACGACCAACTTGCAGACCCGTTGGCACGTTACGCAGCTCAGGACCTGTCATAGTTAATGTTCCAAGTCGAACCGAAATGTCATAAGTTTCATTTTTTCTATGTGCTGTGTTTTGTATACAGGACCTGTCCATCTCTAACAGGGATCTTTCCCATTCAGATTATTTTCCAGGTGGTTAACTTGTTTTCACTGTCGCAGTGTCAGGGAAACTGTTCTTGTACTTTTGTGTACTGGCCATACAAGACTGACACAGCTGTCACACGGAGAGAAGGCGGCGCCTCTCTGTGCAACATGTCAGGTGTCGTCAACAGGCGAACAACTTTTGGTAAGTTGTCCTGTTTACCAGAGAGCATGTCAGAATAATCTTAGTTCTCTTGTTCAGCGCCTGGCAGCTGTCACCTTGCTCGCTCTCATTTGGGGAAGCCCTACTGAAAGGCGGGTAAGTTTATATACGTATATAAAAAAACACTAACCTCCATAAAAATAATGAGAAGAGGGTTTCCAGATTTTTCCTTGACCCATCAGGAGTTGTAAACGTCAGGAAAAAAGATCAACCAATAATATGAGCGCTGGAGAGGACTAAAAACTGAGTCAGATCCAAGATGGCCGCCGCCATTGATCGTGAAGGTCAGGAAGGCGGTTGTAACTTCCTTGTTATTAGATGAAGAACAAAAAATTTTTGTATGCTACCCAGGGTTTTTAAGGATCAAGGAATTCACTTTGTGACATTAGAATTTCACTGCGACGACTCAGACACACTTAACAGTCTTGAATGAAAACGCATTATTTAACCTAAAAAAAAAAAAAATTTTAGGTCTAACTATTGCAAAAAAAATCTCAATTTTGAGAATAACTTTGTTAACATGTTTCAGAATAATGTATTTCAGAGAGTATACTGAAGAATTCAGTGGAAAATCTAACTAAACAATAAACATAATCATACAGGACCGATCATTCATACAAACGTATTAATCACTGAGTGATAATTCCTCTGTGGATTTCGATCCATGAACACACAAACTGGACACACATCACTGGTCGAGTCTGATATTCGTCCTCTTATAACCAGCGTCAGTGACGTCAGTCCCAGTCCTGGAGGGTTGGCTCACAATCGAAAGGACTTGAGTTCGATCCCCGAGCTACATGTTAAATGATAAACATTATCTATACAAAGTATGATTTACACTTGCTTCAGAAAAAAAGTGACGTTGTTGACATACTTTACAGAAGCTCCTGGTTATACAGAACATTTCGGACAACCATAAAATAACTTACAGCTACAAATGGAATTTTTTACAAGAACAATTTGTTGGAATTCTTGACTCACGAAATCGTAATGACACGATTGCAAACAAACCATACCACGGGCGGGGACTGAACCCGCGATCAGTGGCTAGCGCGTCAGTCTGGAGCTTTATGACTCTCTGATCGCGGGTTCAAACCCCGCCCGTAGTATGGTTTGGAAATCTTAGTGAGATAATTCGTAATAACATTTGTGGAGGTTATTACGAATGTTAGTCAAATATAAGAGCAGATACTAATGTACACTTCAGTATTACTACACAAGACGTAATAAACTGAAGGAACAAAGTACAAGTACATAGCAGCAGCTTGGGCAAGACTTTGTCTATATTATAAATAATATTTGTTGTTTATTCACAATAGAAATCACAATAAAAAAGAAATAATTGTTAAGTTTATCAGAGTGAGTTGTACCAGTGGTACTAGTGGTACCAATGGTACTAGTGGTACCAGTGCTACCAGTGGTACTAGTGGTACTAGTGGTACCAGTGGTACTAGTGGTACCAGTGGTACTAGTGGTACTAGTGGTACCAGTGGTACTAGTGGTACCAGTGGTACTAGTTGTACTAGTGGTACCAGTGGTACCAGTGGTACCAGTGGTACTAGTGGTACTAGTGGTACCAGTGGTACTAGTTGTACTAGTGGTACCAGTGGTACCAGTGGTACTAGTGGTACTAGTGGTACCAGTGGTACTAGTTGAATTATAATACCAATATGATGAGTTAGTATATATATGTAATATAATATACGGTAGTTGCTGGGAAGCTGGAAGACGAACACTGACACAAGTGGATGTGAACATCAAGTCTCAGGATCTGTTTAACATTGTACATTGTGGTCAGGATCACTGTCAGGTGAGGAGGAGCTTTATAGTAGTGCCTTTGTAGTGGTTGGCAGATAGTGAACCTTTGGAATCTTCAGGTAGACACTTCCAGATTTTCGGGCCTTTTATGCGCACTGAATTTTTACATAGGTTGAGCGGGGCACAGGGAAAACCAGAGAGACTTTTGTGTCTTGTGTCATGTTTGCGAGCTGTCTTACAGCCAGCACAAGAATCATACTAGATTGATTTTTATTTTTACGTCAAGTGGTTGATCTTGTGTCCACCTTCCTGTACGACAATATCAGCTGGTTGGTCTTGTGTCCACCTTCCTGTACGACAATATCAGCTGGTTGGTCTTGTGTCCACCTTCCTGTACAACACCAGCTGGTTGATCTTGCGTCCACCTTCCTGTATGACAACACCAGCTGGTTGATCTTGCGTCCACCTTCCCAACGTGACAACAACAATCTCCATTGGTGGCTGGTCTGAATACTAATATCACCTATAAGATATATCTGATTTCTTTTTATCATTTAAAAATTCAAAAATTCTACAATGCGTGTATTATTTCTTTGTCTGTTGTTTTATTTATGGGGGAAAGGAGGAGCCTTCCTGGGTGAGGAGGGGCGGGGATGGGCGAAGAGGCCGGGCGGGGTGGAGTCGTTACCAGAAGTCGTGCTGGCGGCGTGGCAACACAGGGACAACGAGATGACACCATCCACCACGACTGCTTCTCCGAGCAGTCAGACAACACCGTCCACCACGACTGCTCCTCCTCCGAGCAGCTAGAGGGACACTGAGCCCAGCTCATTGCAGGTTATAAGGCGATGGTGGAAGAGGAGACGCAGAGGGTTGAAGAAGTGGGTGAGGTCCAGCAACAACAGTGAAAGTCAGGTCGCCAGGCAGAGCAATGAGACCAGTACCTGGACGGACATGAGGAACCTGTGGAAGGCGAAGATGAGAAGGTTGAACAACCTTATGAAGGGTCGAGGAACTCATCAGGGTAAGGAGGAGAAGAAAGTTCCAGAGGTAGTGGAAACGAAAGTTCCAGAAGTAGTGGAAAAGAATGTTCCAGGGGTTAAGAGGAAAGTTCCAGAGGTAGTAGAGAAGAAAGTTCCAGAGATAGAGGAGAAGATTCCTTGGTTAGAGAAGGTAGTTCCTCAGGTAGGGGAAAAGAAAGTTCCCCAGGTAGAGGAGAAGAAAGTTCCCCAGGTAGAGGAGAAGAAAGTTCCCCAGGTAGAGGAGAAGAAAGTTCCCCAGGTAGAGGAGAAGAAAGTTCCCCAGGTAGAGGAGAAGAAAACAGTTAAAGAGGAGAAGGAGAGGGGAATTAAAGTTTCACGGTCAAAAAAGAAGAAAAATAAGAAAAAGGTTCGAAAAAAGAAAGAAGTAAAAGTGGTTCCCCAGATAGTTGAGAAGAAAGTTCCTGAAGGAGAGAATAAAGTTTCTGAGATAGAGGAGAAGAAAGTTCCTGAGGGATAGGAGAAGAAAGTTCCTGAGGGAGAGGAGAAGAAAGTTCCTGAGGGAGAGGAGAAGAAAGTTCCTGAGGGAGAGGAGAAGAAAGTTCCTGAGGTAGAGGAGAAGAAAGTTCCTGAGGTAGAGGAGAAGAAAGTTCCTGAGGGAGAGGAGAAGAAAGTTCCTGAGGTAGAGGAGAAGAAAGTTCCTGAGGTAGAGGAGAAGAAAGTTCCTGAGGGAGAGGAGAAGAAAGTTCCTGAGGTAGAGGAGAAGAAAGTTTCCTGAGGGAGAGGAGAAGAAAGTTCCGAGGGAGAGGAGAAGAAAGTTCCTGAGGGAGAGGAGAAGAAAGTTCCTGAGGGAGAGGAGAAGAAAGTTCCTGAGCGAGAGAATAAAGTTCCTGAGGTAGAGGAGAAGAAAGTTCCTGAGGTAGAGGAGAAGAAAGTTCATGAGGGAGAGGAGAAGAAAGTTTCTGAGGTTGAGGAGAAGAAAGTTCCTGAGGGAGACAAGAAAGTTCCTGAGGGAGACAAGAAAGTTCCTGAGGAAGACAAGAAAGTTCCTGAGGGAGACAAGAAAGTTCCTGAGGAAGACAAGAAAGTTCCTGAGGGAGACAAGAAAGTTCCTGAGGGAGACAAGAAAGTTCCTGAAGGAGACAAGAAAGTTCCTGAAGGAGAGAAGAAGAAAGCTTCCCAGGGAAAGAAGAAAACTCCCAAGGGAAAGAAGAAAGTTCCCAAAGGAGAGAAGAAGAAAGTTCCCGCCGGTGCCTGACGGAGGAGGAGGACCCAGGAGGCAACACCAACACATCCTCCTCCACCATCTCCTGACGGAGGAGGAGGAGGAGGACCCAGGAGGCAACACCAACACATCCTCCTCCACCATCTCCTGACGGAGGAGGAGGAGGAGGACCCAGGAGGCAACACCAGCACATCCTCCTCCACCATCTCCTGACGGAGGAGGAGGAGGAGGAGGAGGACCCAGGAGGCAAACACCAACACATCCTCCTCCACATCTCCTGACGGAGGAGGAGGAGGAGGAGGAGGACCCAGGAGGCAACACCAACACATCCTCCTCCACCATCTCCTGACGGAGGAGGAGGAGGAGGAGGAGGACCCAGGAGGCAACACCAACACATCCTCCTCCACCATCTCCTGACGGAGGAGGAGGAGGAGGACCCAGGAGGCAACACCAACACATCCTCCTCCACCATCTCCTGACGGAGGAGGAGGAGGAGGAGGAGGACCCAGGAGGCAACACCAACACATCCTCCTCCACCATCTCCTGACGGAGGAGGAGGAGGAGGAGAGGAGGACCCCAGGAGGCAACACCAACACATCCTCCTCCACCATCTCCTGACGGAGGAGGAGGAGGAGGAGGAGGACCCAGGAGGCAACACCAACACATCCTCTCCACCATCTCCTGACGGAGGAGGAGGAGGAGGAGGAGGACCCAGGAGGCAACACCAACACATCCTCCTCCACCATCTCCTGACGGAGGAGGAGGAGGAGGAGGAGGACCCAGGAGGCAACACCAACACATCCTCCTCCACCATCTCCCTTCTTCTTTCCATTATATTTATACTCTTATTTTAACCAAAGGAAAACAAAAAAAAATAATTTAAATCGGCCTGAATTTAAGATGTATATACGAGGAAAATCAGTGAGTACTGATTGTTGACTGTCTTCTTCCTGGATCTTCACTCAGGTTGTGATTGTGACTTGGAACAAGTGCATCCTGGTGGCTGTCACCAGGAGAAGTGCTCCAACCATTGCTTGATGTACGCAACAAGGTTGAGCTGTCAGACTTTGGTTAGGCCATCAGATAAACAAACAGCATGTAAGGGGAAACTTAAGTTGTGGTACAGTAATACTGAGGCTGATAAATAGAGTTGCGACAAATTAATCTTCTTGGGTGTGATTTACTGGCCCCGAAATCTTGATAGGGAGTACAGAAAGCTGCTATGGGACGAAATTCATAAGGCGTCAAGATATGAAAATGTCGTGTTAATGGGAGATTTTAACTTTAGACAAATTAATTGGAACAATGTGACAGGATATCTTGAGTCTAATAACTTTCTTGATACGCTTCAGGATTGCTTTTTAAAACAGTTTGTGACAGAACCAACTGGAGGAAACAATCTGCCAACAAGGAATCACTAATTAATGATCTTGAGGTTAATGATGAGCTTAGGGAAAGCAATCATAAATCACTTAGTTTCAATACACCATGGAATTACCCAAATAACTGCGATCAAGTCTCTGTCCCAGACTTCCGCTTGGCCGATTTTATGGGACTGAGAAATTACCTGGGTGGGCTAAATTGGAACGACCTGACTATGGGTCAGATAAGTGGTGTTGGTTGCCAATATGACGTTTCTCAGAGCATAGTTCTAGCTGCTCAGACAACTTATGTTCCAAGTATGGAAATTAGATCAATCAAAAACGATCCAAAATGGATAAACAACAGAATAAAGCATCTCATTGATCAAAAGAAAGGTATATACAGGCGTCTAAAAATAAGGGATAGGCAGTTAAGAAATCATATATTCAGTTAAAGAGAGCAATAAAAAAAAAGGGAATAAGAAAAGTTAAAAGAGATTATGAAACAAAAGTGACAATGGATTGGAAATCTAACCCAAAAGGTTTCTTTAAGGTAGATAGAAGTAAGATTAGGGACAAGATTGGCCCATTCAAAAGTAACTCAGGTCAGATCACTGACAGTGATAAGGAAATGTGTGAAATTTTTAACTCTGATTTCCTCTAAGTAATTACGCAGGAAGATGCTAGCGAAATTCCAGAAATAATAAATTATGTAAAACAGGACGATAATAAACTATGAACGACTAGGATAACTAGTGACATGGTCCTCAGACAGAGAAATTAAAACTGAACAAATCCCCAGGTCCTGATGAGCTGTTTGCAAGGGCTTTAAAGGAATATAAAGAGGAACTTAGCAAATCTTTGACTAATCTTTTCAACATATCACTACAAACTGGCATGATGCCAGACAAGTGGAAAATGGCAAATGTAATACCTATTTACAAATCAGGAGACAGGTCCTTTGCTTCGAACTATAGATCAGTAAGCCTTACACCTCCATAGTGGGAAAATTTATGAAATCGATAATTGCCGAGGCAATTCGTAGCCATCTTGAAAGGCATAAATTGATTAACGAATCTCAACACGGTTTTACAAAGAGGCATTTCTGTCTTACGAATTTACTAACTTTTATCACCAAGGCACATGAGGAGGTAGATCATGGTAATGAATATGATACTGCATATATGGACTTTAGTAAGGCTTTTGATAGAGTTCCACATCAGAGGCTATTGAGGAAAATTAAGGCGCACAGAATAGGAGGAGAATTTTTTTCCTGGGTAGAGGCGTGGTTGACAGATAGGCAACATAGAGTTTACATCAATGGGGAGAAATCAGAGTGGGAGGTGCATCACGAGTGGTGTTCCAAAGGGATCAGTGTTGGGCCCTTTGTTGTTCGCAATTTATATAAACGACATTGATGAAGAAATAAATAGCAAGTTTGCTGATGACACCAAAATAGGTCGCCTAATTCATTCTAATGAGGACATCAGAACACTCTATGAAGATCTGAATAGTAATAAAGTTGGTAGAATTACCGACAATATGTAAAGTAAAAGGACACAAGTGCAACTAATGTGACATTTATTGTGGCAACGTTTCGCTCTCCAGGAGCTTTATCAAGCCATTACAAACAATACATGGACACAGAGGGTATATAAAGGCTCAGAGTGAGGTGAATACTAGTGAGGTAACATTTCGATGTTCACTAGTGGTAGTAGTAGTAGTAGTAGTAGTAGTAGTAACAAAAATAATACAATATGGAAGAGCAATTAATTCGTACATGAGTAAAAGGATATAAAAGCTATTACTTGGGTAACATAAAAATAGGTTGGACAAATATAGACTGGAAAGAGGCAGGTTTTTTTCAGTGTTCACTCTGATGTAGTGGTCGGGGAAGTGGCAGATGCAGTTTAATATAGACAAATGCAATGTTCTGTACATTGGACAAGAAAATAACCATGCCACATATAAACTAAATAATATATATCTTAATATTACTGATTGCGAAAAGGATTTGGGAGTTCTGGTTAGCAGTAATCTAAAACCAAGACAACAGTGCATAAGTGTTCGCAGTAAAGCTAACAGAATCCTTGGCTTCATATCAAGGAGCAAAAATTGTAGGAGTCCTCAGGTTGTTCTTCAACTCTTCATATCCTTGGTTAGGCCTCATTTAGACTATGCTGCTCAGTTCTGGTCACCGTATTACAGAATGGATATAAATGCACTGGAAAACGTGAAAAGGAGGATGGCAAAGTTTATCCCATTTATCAGAAATCTTATCTATGAGGATAGACTGAGGGCCCTGAATCTGCACTCTCTAGAAAGGCGTAGAATTAGGGGGGATATGATTGAGGTGTATAAATGGAAAACAGGAATAAATAAAGGGGATGTAAATAGTGTGCTAAAAATATCTAACGAAGACAGGACTCGCAGCAACGGTTTTAAGTTGGAAAAATTCAGATTCAGGAAGGATATAGGAAAGCACTGGTTTGGTAATAGAGTTGTGGATAAGTGGACCAAACTCTCGAGTACCGTCATAGAAGCTAAAACGTTGTGTAGTTTTAAAAATAGGTTAGATAAATACATGAGTGGGTGTGGATGGATGTGAGTTGGACCTTGACTAGTTTGTGCTAATAGGTCTGATGCCGTGCCCCTCCCTTAAGTGGATGTGATCTGACCTGACCTGACTAGGTGGGTCATTGGTTTAAACCGGGAGGTGCCTTGGACCTGCCTCGCATGGGCCAGTAGGCCTGCAATGTTCCTTCTTTCTTATGTTCTTATATTCCAGAGGACGTGATAAAATACACCTGGGTAAGAAATCCCTTCAGTCACATGTGCAACAGTTGGGTATCTTAATTGTTGGAACGTTTCGCCTACACAGTAGACTTCTTCAGTCAAATACAGAGGCAGCAGTAGTAGTAATGAAATAGAAGATGATATAATCAGTCCATCAACCTTAGACAAAAAGTATTTAAGGTAGTCAGTGACCACGATAGCTGTACAGCTATCGTGTGTCGTCATGTCACGACCCCCATGATGACGTTCACGTCATTATATAGCTATCGTGCATCGTCATGTCATTACAGAGCTATCATGCGTCGTCACATCATTATAAAACTATCATGCGGAACGTCATTATAGAGCAATCATGCGTCGTCACGCGAGCCGTGAAGACGCATAATAATATGCGTCTTAGAATGTGTATTAAGGCAGCGGGAGGAACGATAACACTGGTCAACATTCACTTGTGGAGACCTGATCTAAGAACAGGGAAGAACAACACCAGGATCATGAACAAGGTGAAACATAACACCCATGTGAGGAAGAGAGAGAGAGAGAGAGAGAGAGAGAGAGAGAGAGAGAGAGAGAGAGAGAGAGAGAGAGAGAGAGAGCCAGCCTGACAGCTTCTTCAAAGACAAATGAATTTTCTGGCCTGAAAATACAATGATTGGAGAAATAAATTTCCCGACGTCAAAACACACACACACCAAAACAAAGAAAATATATAATAAAAAACAAAAGTAAATTGAGAAAGCCTACTTGGTTAGGCCTACAACAAATATTTTAAATCACCGTGTCCCGTAGCTGGGTTGGTAGCGCACTCAGCTCACACACTAAGGTCCGTGGTTCGATCCCCGGTACGGGTGGAATCATTAGGACGTATTCCCTTAAGACACCTGATGTCCATGTTCACCTACCAGTAAAATAGGTACCTGGGTGTTAGTCGACTGGTGTGGGTCGCATCCTGGGAAAAAAATTGACCTAATTTGCCCGAAATTCTCTGCATAACCTGGTCACAGACCGGGCCGCGGGGGCGTTGACCCCCGGAACTCTCTCCAGGTAAATAACAAGGGTAAATAATATTTTTATTATTATTGTTATTATAATTATTATTGTTATTGTTGTTGTTGTTGTTGTTGTTGTTGTTGTTGTTGTTGTTGTTGTTGTTGTTGTTGTTGTTGTTGTTGTTGTTGTTGTTGCTGTTATTATTATTATTATTATTATTATTATTATTATTATTATTATTATTATTATTATTATTATTATTATAACCTTTTCGGTTAATGAGAACAATTAGGAGCACCTTGAACCCCCGGTTCTGCTGGCCTTGGTTCGATCTCACTGCACGCTGAACCCAAGCGTGGAGGTTCAGAGGGGTTCTGTTGTCTGGTGATCTACAGTCGGGTGTTCGATTGGGTTTTTAACTACAGAGCGAAACCACGTGGAGAGGTTCAAAGCTGATCCGATGTGAACTGAACTACAAGGGGGTTCTACCAGGACGCACTATGAAACGAACCACAGGCAAGGGTTCGGCGGAGCTCTAGTGTCAGCTGAACCACTAAGGTTAGAACGAGTTCCAGAGTGTACTGAATCACAGGCAGAGGTTCAAACTGGCTACACTGTAATCTGAACCACAGGTTCAAACCAGCTCGGCAGGATTACCTGTTAAGTCCTTCAATCCACTTTTCCACTG